TACAAAGGAGGGGTAGGAATAAGAACTAGCAGTACCATTGTGGAGTCTCACTTTCGCAATCAAATTAGAGACCGGAAGCTATAATACGGTCAGCACCATGTCGCATTTTCTGTGACGTTTTCTCGTATGCATCTGTGAGTGGTTTACTGAACTTAATTCGGGTGCGTGCCGTATGACAGCGCAGTGGACCTATCGTACCCGGTGTGCAGTGAACATTTTTTCTTTGCTTCCTAAGCTTACTCATAAAGGATTTTTTTAGTGAAAACTGCTGTCGTGATTAGCTTGCTCTCTTTACAATAACGTTGACCCGAGACCAACAGGAGTACACATTTATGTTGGCTCTAGCCGTTAAAGCATGGTGATCACTCTTTTTAGACTTTTTTATGTTTAGCTGAATAAGATCATGCATTTTTTCGTCCTTATGGCTACCTCGAGACCTCTAGCATTGCTTGTGATCTTGGCATGGCAACGAAAAATGTCCAGTCTGGCATGCATGTCAGCGATGTTTTGGGCCAAAGGTGGCTCTTTGGTGTTCGTGTGTGACAAGTGCATGTCCTCGTTGTACTTGATCAGATTGCCTTCACGTGTGCCGTAACAGCATTTCGTGAGCTATTCGTGTTCCAATCCACTCCGGCACAACCTGTGCAAAGGAAACAGGCTGACCCCACTCCGGTGACGGAGAGGGAGTAACCCGTTTTTTACGCTGACTGGTGCAAGTTGATAGGTGTCGACAGTTGAAAGAAGGGAAAATGGGTAGTCGACGCTAAGACAAGAAAGATGTCTCCATTCAGTATCAATTCAGTAACTTTAACTGGGATCCAGCCTAGTAAATATCTGGAAACAGATAAAGGCATATTTGGTCTAGATGGTGCTTAAAGGAGATCATGATACCACAAGGAACGCCCTCTGACGGTGCTCTGTATCCCAACACGCACACACCCGCGTTATTGTTATTGTTAATATTGCTATGGCGTTGGCACCAAGCTTGTTCTCAAGCCGGTGTTAAATATATACATATATATACGCTGGTAAAATGGTTCATAATTCGGTTTGCGAAAGAGTGGTATCTAATGTTCAGTCTGGTAACTTTCTTTTTCAGTTTCGGCTCTTAACCATTCCCCATCCCCAATAGTGGGGTGGAAAATCTCTTAGGGCCTAACGTTGCTGAAACCCCTCGTACATTTCAGGGTTTCTGTGGGATCGGTCCTCAGTCTTCTCCACTTCACAAAAAATAAACTCAGGGAAGCTAGTCATTCCTTGTAAGTCTTATTCCCTTGACTCTACACCATTTTATTGGCTGTTTGCTGTACTTTTTTCAGTGTATTTGTAAATACAATGACCACACTTGGACACAGTATTCCAGATGGGACCTACCGATGGCTTTTTAAAGCAGTATAAAAGCCTCCGGCCTTCTNCGGCCTTCTGGATGTCAGGGTTCTTCGTAGCCGGAACAACCGTCGATGTACACTTTTCAGATGTCTTCGAGCACTAGGCGGAGGGCTTGAAGTCACTTGTGATACTGATTGCTAGATCCTGCACGATGGTAGCCGTCCCGATTTTATTTAGCTCTCCCTGGGTGTTCGTATGCCAAACTTCTATTTTTTGTTAGTGAGTGATACTTGGAGAAATTTAGTGGCAAGTTTCATTCATGTGACCACTGTGCACTATTTTTTTCTTATCCCTCTTCCAGATCCACCCAGTAACCACCACTTCTTATTTTTACATCATATGCAAAATGTAACAGGGATTTTTCAGATTTGCAGTTAGGTCATTGTTGCAAAGAAAAAATAGCTGGTGTCTTAGGACAGAGCTCTGTGTGATCCCACTAATGACCATTCTCTGACTAAAGAGAGCGTCAACTGCCCTCGTCTGAAAGCTTCTGCCTGACAGTAAGTCTGAAATCCAAAAAATCTTCCAATCCCGAAGTTAGCTATATTTCCAGTCAGTAACCTATAATTTACTGCATCAAAGAATTTTTTGAAGTCTAAGTAGCAAACTCCGATGGGTAATCCTTCGTCTATATTGCGGGTAACTTCATGCAAGAAGTTGTTGGCATTTGTTAAACAAGACTGTCCTTCGACAAAGCCATGCTGCGCATTGTGGATCATGCCTTTTTCAGTCACATGCTCGCAAATGCGATCTCTGATGAGTCTCTCTATGCATTCTCCAATGACACTGATTAGACTGGCTGGCTTGTAGCTTTCTATTTTGCTCCCGTGACCACATTTGTGTATAGCAACAACTACAGCCCTTTTCCAGTCTGCTGCGGCCATTCATTTCCCTTAGAGAAGCGTTGAATAGCTCACAAACCGGAAACTGGATGGCGCAGCTCAGTAGTCTAACCATTGCTGGATTGATTCCATCCATTTATGATGCCTTATATAGATTTATCGCTCCAAAGACCTTTTCAGCCTCTTCCAGTGTATATATTCCAGAGTAACCACCTATGGTCTCTGTTATACAAGCATCTCTACTTCCACAAGGCCGTCCACTCGATATACACTCTGGAAGAGCCTTAGTTGTGTGTTTGCTTTAGCTCCATTTAATGTAACTTCACTACCTTCGGGAAGAGTCAGTTCCGCCACGCCTTTCCGTAAAGCCACTTTGAATTGAACGTAACTGTAGCACTTTTGGGGGCATGTTTTAGGTTTGGCTGCTAGTCATACCTCAAACTTGTATTTTGCCGCCCGCTGCACTCTAGCAGCAGCATCTGGCTACCGAATACACTTTTGCGGCCTGCCATGACTGTGGCGTTGTACAAAACTTGTCCATTCACTGTTTCGACTTTGCATCGCTTGTTTCACTGCAGGTATCCACCACTGAAGCCGATTTCTATTTTTCATTACCGTTATTGGGGCAAACCCGTCTGTGAACTCGTCTATGCCGCACCTAATGGCTTTCCACTTCTCTTCTATCATGAAATTTGCTACAGACCGTACCAACTCGCACCCATGTGCTTTTCTGAGTAACCACTCTGTCAATTCGTCCAAAGTTCCAGACCCACTTGGTTCTCCTGGGTCTCTTCCGGAGCCTGAGTTCGAATGTGATACCGCAGTTGTCACTTCCCTAACGGTGGGTCTATGTTATCCCGCACGCGGCATGCTCCCTTGTGGTAAAAAGGCTTCATTATCGTTCTATTTGCAGTTCAGAGCGCCGTTAGAGATTAATTCTCATACCTTGGGCCCCAACCTGGAAGATGGGCTGCACCAACCGAAACCAAATCTGAAGCCTCTTCATACCTCTACGGCATGTCGTGGTTTGACCACCGCGGCGCTTCTTCCAGCCCTGCATGTGCACGTAGAGCACGGAAAGGTGGCCGATGAGCAGACATACACAATACGTGATCACGCCCTTGGAAGCACTGTAGAGCGATTACTTCTGCTAGAAAATAACTATCCACACCCTAAGCACGTCGGAGAACCTATTCATTGCTCACCCGATTTTCCTACCAGACAAGAGCAATGCTTCGGAAACATTGGTGGTCGAATACATAAAGCCAATTTAGCATAAAATAGTGCTATTAAAAACGAATGTGCAAAACAAACTGAACAGCTAAAAAATATATAGCTTAGAAATAAAATCGACATTTATATGTGAATTTCGATGTTCTTCCCCATAACAGTTTGAGAAAACGAGAATACGTGTACAAAAACAACGGGTATTCTCATTGGAATTAAACCTAAGGGTA